GTTGCCCCAGTACAGATTACTCTTAATAAGGATAACCATTCGGATTCTGAGAGAAAGTTTTTCTCCAGTATCTGGCCAAATTTAAAACCAAACTTATCAAGTTTTGAGGATAAATTGGAAATAATGTTCATATGGATTACACACAGAAGTGGGACAGATGAGTCAGTGGAATGTATAACTAAAGAAACGCGGAATAAAGCTCATGAAATTAATCCCAATTATACTCGGGTAGTAATTGGATTTGGGAATGTCAACAGTGATATTAATAGATATTTATCTAAGATTATAATCACAAACAATAACATTATCCAGTCTCAAATCGTTAAAATTGAGGAAACAAACCGCGAATCTGACAAAGAGACTAAAGAACAAAAAAGCGCTCAAAGGAGAAGGGGAAGGCCCAAAAAAAGTTTGTAAATGTAAAATGAAATGTGGACGAAGGGAAGGGAATCAAAAAGGACATAGCTAAATATTCTGGTAACAATATATACATAATAGAATAACTAAAGATAATAAAAGTTTTATTTCACGTTGAAAAAATCTTTAATTTTTTTCATTGTTTATGATAAGCTAAAAAAACAAATGTAATAAAACGAACGAAGTAGCGAGTTTAAAGGGAGGAGCCCTAACCCATAAAATGAGAGTTCCTTCCTGCTACTCTAATGCCAATTTTTCGCCTAATTTACTATGCTTTTATAATTTCCGAATAATTAACCAATTCCCACCAACATATTCCGTTTCTGTATTTCTGTATCTATGCTAAAATTTTCGCAATGTTTATCTATTAACATAAATCATGTAAAAGGGTTTTGATTTTAACCAATTACCGCTCGCGTATTTGAGATGATTTAATTTCAGATCTATTAGATATTCCGGAGCAACAATTACCGGTCGATGAATATGTTACTGTACATATAAATCGACTAAAAAAAAATCACTATACGTTATTCACAAATCCGTTCTTCACCCGGCTAGAGAACAAAACCAGGTAATTTTTAACGAGATTTATTTTAAAGGATCTTTCCGAAAAAGCCTGTAAAATAGAAAGGAATATACGTTTCCATGCACATTAAGAAGGGACACGTTCATCGACCATTACTGTGCATTTATTTATCAAGTTCTGACTCATTCGGAAAAAATAAACAGAACATGCATTATCTTTCATGTATCATAGGTGCATAGGTGTAACCGTGAAGAATCTTCACGATCAAAAATCACGTGCGCGCGAACAATTGTTCACGCCGATCACTTTTGCCAAGAAAATTTTTTATTATTACATGCGAAAAATAAATACAAGATCGGGACTTAGCCCGTGATACATGACGTCTATGCTAACACTCCATCCTATTATTCTGTTTTTACCCGCTTTCCATCGACCAATGATGATTTTTGCTGATCAAAAACCACTTAATTTGCCCAAATAATTTCTCGATAGGTCCAACTAGGTCATCGCGGGATAAGCGAACACAAAAAAACTTCGACCGGATTCCCATCTCCAATACCACTTTGAACTTTTGTTATTACCCAGTCAACACCTGAAATTGGATATCAAATAAAAGAATTAGTAATAATCGCATTGATTTTGATCAAGTAATAATTCAGGTCATATTTTTTCGAATTTGTTTTACAATCATACCCGTTGAGACAATGCAGTACATTGCACCTTCATACAAATCAGCATCATCATAAGTACGTTTTTTACGATTGCATTGCAGAGATGCATGTGCTTGGACACTGCTTTGGGCAACGCCTTGGTTAATATCTTCTCGTTTTGCTTCAGTTACAGAAATAATTACGTCTCCCATTTTGATCACCCAATCTATGGGCCCCTTTCCATGACTTCCAGAAACTTCATACTGGGGATAAACTTTTACAGTACCATCGAAGATGGACGCCACACCATATATAATCGCAGAAATAAATTCACAGCGGGTGGCCTCATTCGCGCTAGTGATGGGTGGGGATGCCTTGTGCATTCTTAAAAAATCCTCAATCACACTGTACTGTTCCTAATCTCTTCTGGAGTTGCCGAACTTCCAATCTCAATACATGGTAATTGATCATAGCTATCAGCCTTCAAACTGAAAAGAACTTTCATCTTGGGGAAAGTATACGAAGAGAAAGGTTGTTGCGCTATAAAAACAGCCATGCATAAATTAACTAATCAGACATTTGGTAAAATCGGCACGTGAATATCCTAAATAACTTGATAATACTTACACGTATCCACAACTATTTCCAGATCCACCTTGGGGTCAACAGTCCAGATAATGCTCAATAAATCCTCATCAGCAGAAAACTGAATAACTTTACGCTCTGTCACAATCTCAACCGTATCACTTGCACTCTGGGAACTCGAACTTGCCAGGTCTAATTTTTTACGCATTTTACCTGTTGAAATCTTTCTCTTCAAGCCGGCTCCACCTACTACACGACCTATTACGATATGCTCGTTTTCTGTCCCATCCGGAAACGTAAAATATTCACAAAGCTTCTTCTTAAAACCTTCCAATGACACCATTTCTCGGCTCACTGTCCATTGAAAATTCGCACTCTTACGACCATACGTTGCGGTACAATGTACCTCTTTTGTCTCAACAGGACGCTGTACGATTATATGTATGTGCTCGTCGGCTGGCTGGGAGGTAAAATATTTGCTAATCTTCGAAAGCGGTTTCAACTCTACACCTTCAAGTTCCTCCTTAATATTAACGTTTATTTTTGTGTTGACGAGCTTAAGTTTTTCGTTTTCTTCTTCGAAGGAAATGTCGACCTTCCATAGCTTGAGGTCTTTTGCCTTAACATTATCGTCAATTTTTTCCTTGATAGCGTCTTTGAGCAACGCCACGGTCTTTATTTGAGTGGTGTCGATAACAACTTGAAAAGCATTTTCATAAGGGCTTTCACCCACGACCAAACAACTGAGAGTGGTAGTTGACATGACGCTTTTATAGGGATATTTGGCTCGGATAAAAAATAGTGTTACGTTCCGGAGTGAGATAAAAATTTATTTCTGGGAAAGGGCTGAGCTTTAATATATGGTTTTAAGTCGCACAGGGATTACATCATTTCACGTGATCCATTTCTCATATACGTTCGATAAAATAATAGAAATAAAAACGTTGGTTGCCAGAGGCAACTCTACAATACATAAAAATTGCGACTATAGCGCTACATGATACAGAAGATTATTCTGACCGGGGGTATACAGTGATATGGAAGTGCTCTGCTTTAGGCTCCTCAGTAAAATAATCGGAAATAGGGGTACTACTATCCATTACCTTTTCACTATTGCTTCCGGCTTGAATTATACATAATTTGAGTGGGATCTCAACACCCAATCTGCTTTGAATTGTAGCTTCGAGCATGATATAACTTTCATCTTTTTCAACTGTAATCGCCTGCATTACTTTAACGCAAGGGATATTCATAAGTTTTCCTATAGGAACGATAAGACAATTGAGAGTGATTTTGTCCATTTTGTTTTCCTAAATATAAGACCCATAGTGAGAAAACTTGCTCCCATACATTCATAACTTCTGGCATATACATACCTTATTTTGCGTTATCTTCTCTGGGAATGTTTTTTTTGCGGAAAGTTGGCTGAACTTCCACATACCTCTACATGCTTTATATCTTGCTGGGAAAAAAGATAAGGAGGTATATGGCGTAATTAGTATTGTTGTCTGATGCCAAGAGTTCCATGAAAGCACATGCAAATGGAATCCTTATACCCTTTCACATGGAGATCTACCGGAAAGACATAAAGTTGGTTTTACGCCTGCCGATCTCGGAATTGTGACTCCACTAGCCTTTCATAACATATGCTTTTGTCAGCACTATTTACTTACGATGTAGATCCTGTATTGTATGTAGACCTTCTTCACATTTTTCTCACGTTTGTTTGGGAAAAAATGGAGGTATTGGTTAGCGAGTATACTGTATATGTGAAATTAATATGCGAAAATGTCACACAGACCTATTATGTGATCGGCTTATTTTTGTCGCACATGAGTACATGCATTGTGGCCCAGCAAAAAATCTTCTGAACTGATGATCACTGCTCCGGACTACCTTTGCTCTGGTTAGTTATCCAATGTATACCTCTCAATAAGTATTGTACCCCATTCAGATTAGCAATATCGGACTGACTAATATAATCTTTAAACCCAGTTATAATACCAGTCACTGATTCTTTTTTCGCCTGAATAAGCATTTTTACCAATTCACGATAATAAATACTTTTTGCAATACATCTCATATTTTCTCGTGTTAATCCACTATAGAATTTACTTCTAAAATGATCTTTACAGAGTTTGATGATATCATTACTTTTCTTCGCCTTTAAACAGTAATCCACTATTGATTCTTTACCTTGAATAAACAATCTACATTGGAACTTCTCAATACCTTCTGGCCATATTTCCCATCGAAGTTTATGCGGATAATATGGCAATTCTATCAGACTCAAAATATGTGAAAGATAGAAAGCATTGGAATGTATAAATACATGGAATAATGATGATGGATTTCTTACATTGGGCAGACTATGTACAAATTGCTTAAGCGCTTTCTCTTTCCAATTCCTAACTATTGGTTAAAATAAAAGTTATCGGGTACATATTGGGTACCTGATATGTGTCTGATATATATATGATATGTGTGCGATATTTAATAATACTACACATATCAGATACCCAATATGTGTAGTACAAATGCAGAAATTCAGGCACACATATTATACATATCAGATACATATCAGGTACATATTGGGTAGTAAAATATCGGTTATATATAGCAAACATATCAGATACCTGATAGATTTTAATAAATATCAGACAGATATCACCCACTTATCAAACATGCCAATAGGTATCCTAAATATGTCATTTTATAAATTTATAATTTTTAATTTAGATCGAATTTATAAATTTTTATAATTTTAATTTATTTATTTTATAGATAATTTAGGTCAAATTTATTATTTAATTATACCAACAATTTTATTAGATAAAATTAAATTTACAAATAACCAAAAAAATGTAAAACAATAATTATTATAAACAATTAAAATTATATATGTAAAACACAAATAAACCTCCTTTTATATGTTAGCCTGTTATCAACAAATAACGATCATTTATTGATATTTAAAAGAAAGAAATAGAAATATTAGTAGTGTATTAAAGTAAAAGAAATATTAGTATGAAGTATTAGTAAAAGTAAAGGAAAATATTAGTATAAACGGTAATAAAAATGTTAGTAAAAGTAATAGTTAGTAATAGAAAATATTAGTATGAATGTAATGTTAATAAAATATTAATAAAAAAATATTAGTAGAAGGAAACATATTAGAAAAACATATTAGGAAGAGAAGAAAAGAAGTGTTAAAAATATTAATAGTATAATAAAAAAAGAAGAAAAATGTACCTTTGTATTTATTTTACACAAATCAATAAAATAAAATTTTAAGAGAAAAGGGTTAAGAGGAAAAAAAAATACGCGAAAGATAAATAAATAAAAAAAATTGTATTACCACGTGATTAACAATAATTATTAATTTTATTGGCTATTTAAGTAATTATCGATTTTAATCTGGCCAGTATTTAATAAAAATGCATTTATACTATTTATATTAGAATTACACTGCAAGTCTTTATCACTTTAAATAATACAAAACCGTACATTTCTACTTACTGTATATATACTAATTAGTCACAAATAGGTTACCTATCGGTAACCTATTGGCTAAGGACCGGGAAGACTACTAATAAAGGTCACCGGTTTTCTTGGTTCGAACCCATATTTAATTTTCAAAAAGGTCACCGTAAAAATAATTAATAAAAGTCACGTGTTGGTTCGCAAGAATAAGAAAATTTGAGTGAAGATCTTTTTTTTTTCTGTTTTTGGAGCTAAAACATGTGAATAAATAGCCAATTGACCAATCATAAGATGGTTCGCATTTATATGATTTTCTGATTTTTTTCCGGTGACCTTTATATATAGTTTTCCCGGTCCTATTGGCCACCTATCATGCATATACCCAGTCAACATGTTAAATCCTAATTCTTCGCTGATTTTTATAATATTAAAATAATAAATATTCATTTAGTATCTTCCTCCTTCGTCCATTCAACTTACAGTTCATATTATTATCCAAGAAGCTATGTTTCTAAAGAAAAAAAGAAGGGAACGTTAATAACGTTTCTAATTTAAAAAAACTCCCTTCTATTCTACTTATTATCAGCCTTATTCTAAAATCCAATATCCAATAACTGTAAACGAAAGTCTCTAAAGATAAAAAAGAAAAAGAATATCAGTAACGTTCTCAATTTAAAAAAATTTCTCACCCATTCAACTTACAGTTCATATGCGAATCCCCCTCCTGTACTCACCATTCTAGAGTTCCAGGCTGAAATTGAAGTCCAGGAGCCCATCCCTAAAGTAAAAAAGCGAAAAGGAACGTTAGTAACGTTTCAAAAATAAAAAAATGAATCTCCCTCCTGTACTCACCATTTCACTGAAATTAAAGTCCAGGAGCCCGTTTCTAAAGTAAAAAAGTAAAAGGAATATTAGTAATGTTCCAAAAATAAAAAAAATACGAATTCCCCTCCTGTCACCATTCTAGAGTTCCAGGCCAAAATTGAAGTCCAGGAGCCCGTCCCTAAAGTAAATAAGTGAAAAAGAACATTAGTAACGTTTCAAAAATAAAAAAAACACGAATCCCCCTTCTGTACCCACCATTTCAGAGATTCAGGCCAAAATTGTAGTCCAGGAACCTGTCACTAAAGTAAAAAAGTGAAAAGGAATGTTAGTAATATTCCAAAAATAAAAAAAATATGAATCCCCTTCCTGTACTTATCATTCCAGAATTTCAGGCTGAAATTGAAGTCCAGGAGCCCGTCACTAAAGTAAAAAAGTGAAAAGGAACATTAGTAATATTTCAAAAGGACCCCGGATATCTAATATAAAGGTCATAATGGACTTTTGGCCAAAAACACCCCTTTTTGCTGAAACTCAAAAAATCGTTTTTTGTAAATATCTCAGCATCCAGTAATTCAATTTTAATGAACTTTTTTTTATTTTGTAGCCCTCATTTAGCTCT